GAAGATGGCTGAGGTGGTGTCGGTGGGGCAACAGGATTCCAGTGGAGTTGGCCTGAGGAAGTGATTGAGAGCCATGGACACTCTGGATCACACTGAAGCTTAAAGTTCATGAGGTCAGTGGGATGAGCAGATTGAGGAGCGACAATGCGCTGCGCAGGATTGAGATCCAATCCCCAGAACTTGAAGTGCACCACTTGTTCTCCATAAGAAAACGATGATACTGGCATGGAGAAGTTGATACTTGTCATGATCCCTCGTACTGGATCTTGCACTGACACGGTGGAGCATTTGATCACCGTCTGATTCTTCACAGTGACCACCCCTTTGACACTACCATCACTCAGAAGCTCCAGGCCGGATGATGCAAATGTGCATCCTGGGGCAACCTTCACCATTTGAGCTGTCATTGGGTCTGGTGTTTCATTGATGTTTTGTCCAAAGTACAAAGACTTGGTTTGCAAAGGCATGTACACGGGAGTCGGGTAGATACTTCCACCTCCACATGCACAACAAGCTTCACTTGGCCTAAGCCCTTGGAAGGCCACATCTTGAGTTCTTTGAGGCCATGACCCTGAACAAATACCAAGTCTTTGCAGATCTGCACAGGTTCGACCTTGCATGTCGTGCCAATTGGGAATGTCATCGCATAGGAAGCACTTGGATGTGTTCACGATAGGCATGGTCTGCATGACATATCCAGCTGCACACTGCTCACAAACACCATTCTTTACCGCGCGACAGCCACCACATTGCTCGCCAGCTTTGCAACAAGAAAACTTGTAGACACCCTGTACAAAGTCGCCAATCAAGGCTTCTCCCTGCAAGCATGTTGGCTTTGGCGTCAATTCTTGACTCTCAAACACTTGCAAAACCTGAAGCTGTGTCTTTGCAGGTCTTTTGCACCCTCTCGGTGATTCCATGGACCAGAAATCCCCGGGTTCCGAGACCTCTTGACGCAACAGTCTTGACGCGCTATCGTCCGAGTCCAATGTGGCACCAAAGTACCGTAACTTCTGCAAACTGCAAATGGCGTCATCTGCAAACACGATGGCCGCCGCCGTGAGCAAAAGAAACGTCAACATGTCATGCTGCATATGCCCTCTGTCCCCTACTTCTCACCCTAGTAAGCCGAAACTGCAACTGACCACTGACCTCTGTAAGGTTTGAAGCTCCAGGTAATCTTGCACCAAGCAGAAAATCACTGGTCTAGCCCGGTTGGAACGAAGAAACTCTCACACATGACAACTCTCGTGTGGGTAGTATGCACACAATAAAAAATTGGAGGGTCGAGCCACCGAAGTACAAAGCCAACAAACCCATGTAGAGCAGCTAAATTTCGGAATAGCATGTGAACAGTTGAACTAACAGTTGGCAGGCAGATAAATAGGAACGCAAAAGGAACCAGCCATGGGGGCGCCAAAACAAGAGGGCAACCATTTCAGACCCTCAACGAGCCTCAAAAAAGGCAAGCGAAAACAGGATTGCTTCTTTCTATTTGTGCCTCTCAGCAACGTTCAATTTGAACACGGCTTGGATTGGTGCAAAAACCACCTCCTGCTTGCCCTTTGCTCCACAGTCTGTGCTAACGCGGAAGGGACTAATGACCAAAATGACCTGACACACGTCTTATCTATATGCATTGAGAAGTCATAGCAACCATCTTCGCAACGGCTCCTTGTCTACAAATGCATTATCATCTTCAGAATATGCATGCGACGTTTATAAATTTGACAGTCCAACAGTCCCGCATGTCACCCCCAGCTCTATGTATCTCTATGTCATGTGCAAAAGGGACAGTTTCAATGCCTTTGAAAGCTCTCATGTCTGTATGATTCCTTTCTTGACAGGGAGGCAATATGCAGGGCATGCGGAAATGTGACCCTATGCGCAGCTTATGCAGCATGCTACTCAGGTTTTTGCTGAAGGCCGAGCTCCACATGACAAGGCCACTATCTAGATATCTATCTAGCTGATCTTGCGAAGCTTTGGGCAGTGCTCACGGGCACCCTGTTAAAATCTTATGCAGAATTCTGGAATTCGGTTAGAACTTTTTGGATATCGTTCCCGTTGTCCGTGTCATACGTTTGCAGAAAAGTGCTTGAGATATCTCAGCCTTTCGGGCTGTGCACGCTTTGAAGACAGGGTGTCAGTGTAGGTGCTGTCGTTCCAGGTCTGTCGGTGCAGGTGCCGTTGAAGGGACCAGGGATGCAGGTGCAAGTGCTGGTCTAATTTATCGCACACCAACGACATGTTTCACACAAAAGGTGTAACCTTCGAATGATTGAAAAGAACTTTCTCGGAAAGACCGTCAAAACACATTGTTGGAAAAACTGACCGCTTTTAAGCATTTTGGATTCTGGGATCTATGTTTGTGTACTTTTGCAGCATTGCTTAGAGGGGGCGAGGCCATGATGTTCGTTGTCCCGTGCAACAATGATCACAGGAAGAAACTGTTTGGGGGG